GTAAATTTAGTTGTAGAGTAAAATGACTGGTTGTTGAAGAAGGAGGGATGTTCAGGACAAACCAGAAAGTCCAAGCATAGCATGAATGGTCTGTGTAAGTCACAATAAGAGGACTTATTTTTTTAAAAAACCCAAAAACTTTTATATGATCAAGTTGTCACATTATTATTAAGTTTGGGTTGCTTAGGAAAAAAAAAATGAGATTAAATTTTTTCAAAAGTTAAGGTTATTACATTTGTGTATCTCTCTGTATGTGCTTTTAATGTCCTTGTGACATTAAGTTACAGGGCTTTGACTCCTGGGTCTAAAAAGGACACCAGGTCCTGCTAAATTTTTTTTTTTTGACCGGAGTCTCGCACTGTTGCCCAGGCTAGAGTAGAGTGGCGTGATCTTGGCTTACTGCAACCCTCCACCTCCTGGGTTCAATCAATTCTTCTGCCTCAGCCTCCTGAGTAGCTGGGATTACAGGTGCCTGTCACCATGCCCAGCTAATTTTTTGTAGTTTTAGTAGAGATGGCGTTTCACCATGTTGGCCAGGCTGGTCTCAAACTCCTGACCTCATGATTCACCCACTTCAGCCTCCCAAAGTGCTGGGATTACAGGCATGAGTCACTGTGCCCGACCAAGTCCTGCTAAATTTTAGACACTGGCATCAATTAAAGCCCCATCTTCAGGCCCAGTAGAAGATGCCAATCAAAATAAACTGCATTCCTGAAACACAGGGACAGAAATTAAAACTATTCAACTCCTTAAGGCCCAGGGACTATCATGGAAGAGGTGGGCATGGGAGATTGTAAGGACCAATTTTGAGAGATAAAATAAGTTCAGTTTCTTGCCGGGTGCGGTGGTGGCTCATGCCTATAATTCCAGCACTTTGGGAGGCCAGGGTGGGTGGATCATGTGAGGTCAGGAGTTTGAGACCAGCTTGACCAACATGGTGACAGCTCATCTCTACTAAAAATACAAAATTAGCCAGGCATGGTGGCACATGTCTGTAATCCCAGCTACTTGGGAGACTGAGGCAGGAGAATCACTTTAACCCAGGAGGTGGAGGTTGCAGTTAGCCGAGATCACACCATTGCACTCTAGCCTGGGCAACAATAGCAAATTCCATCTCAAATAAATAAATAAATAAGTTCAGTTTATCTATAAATTAGTCATTAATGTCAAAGGTACACTGATGCAAGACCAGCATATGGGCCCCTGTGTCAGATTTAAAAAGTTTTCTTGAAGCATTAACTGACTCCTAAGTAAAGGTTATGAAAGGTTTATGGAAATTATATCTTATCGTCAAGATATAATTTTTAAAACTATAGTTAATTGGGTTCATGCTATTTTTTTGTTTGTTTGTTTTGAGACACAGTCTCACTGTCGCCCAGGCTGGAGTGCAGTGGCGCGACCTTGGCTCACTGCAAACTCCGTCTCCTGGGTTCAAGTAGTTCTCCTGCCTCAGTCTCCTGAGTAGCTGAGATTACAGGTGCACACCACCATGCCCAGCTAATTTTTGTATTTTTGGTAGAGACAGGATTTCACCATGTTGGTCAGCCTGGTCTCGAACTCCTGACCTTGTGATTCCCCTGCCTCAGCCTCCCAAAGTGCTGGGATTACAAGTGTGAGCCACCATGCCTGGCTTCATGCTATTTTTATTAGAGCTTATTGTTTGGAACAGTAAGTCTCTTCTCAAAGAATGAAGGTTTTCATTTCTTTGAAATCCTCGAGTTATTACTTTGGTTAAATGAATGATCCTATATTGTGATATCAAGAGTTTTAAACCTTTGATATTTGACAAACTTTCCAAAATCAAATGATAAATTATATCTTTTTCTGACCTAATTAATCTGTTAAGATATTGGGTTCCCTAATGTCCAAAAATGACATAGTTATTTGGTATAAAAAAGCATTGTCAAATATGAAATGGTGTTTGGTTTTCTTTGGGCTGTATTTGTATAAATATATTATTGGTATGCATTCCAAAATTATGGGAAACTCCTATAATCCCGATAAAACTTAGTGCACATAATCAGTAATAATCATAATTGTATTAAATTATTGTGTGCCACAGAAGTAACAAATTTCCTTGCCAACTGTGTCTTTGACTATGGCTGCCTTAAAACTTTTTGTCATTCACAGACAATGGTCCTGTTTTGCTTCTCTTTAGGAGGTGGCTTTAAAATCAGCTCTAGAACTCAGGTGCTCGTTTTTTTGTTTTTGTTTTTGTTTTTGTTTTTTGATGGAGTCTCACTCTGTTGCCAGAATGGAGTGCAGTGGCACAATCTTGGCTCACTGCAACCTCCGCCTCCTGGGTTCAAGCAATTCTCCTGCCTCAGCCTCCCGAGTGGCTGGGAGTACAGGTGCACACCACCACACCCAGCTAATTTTTGTACTTTTAGTAGAGACGGGTTTTCAACATGTTGGCCAGAATGGTCTTGATCTCTTGACCTTGTTATCCGCCTGCCTCGGCCTCCCAAAGTGCTGGGATTACAGGCATGAGCCCTCGTGTCCAGAGAACACAGGTGTTCTTAAATGCAGGTTTCTGATAACTTTGGAGATAGTGACATTAGAATAGAGAAGAAAAACTTTCAGGACTCTCAAGGAGGGCTGAAATGTTCATGAATATCAAGCATAACAGGAGTAAACTATGTAAACTGAACTCATAGAAGACTAAAGTAATCTTTTTTACTTTTGCTTTAAATGTTGCTGATCCTTTGTTTTGTTTTTTCAGAGTCAAGGAAACTTTTTTTTTGAGCTATTGACAGTTTTTAACAATTTATTATACTCCCATGAACAAAATTTGGAGCATATTTTTTTCTCTCTACCTGATTTCTCCAGAATTTGGAAGCTATTTGTGAGTATTCTTAACTTACGGCAATACAGTTATGTGCATAAGTGCAGTAAGAATCTGTTTTCATTTTGCAACAGGACGTAATTGGAGAAACTGGTTATTTTATTAAGGCTTTGACTGGAATGGTGTGCTTTCCTTTAAGGAATGAAGCTTGGTTTATGGAACCAATAAAGACCCCTTAGGGAAACTGGCCTCATACCTTCCCTGTATAGGGTTCCTGACCTCTGATAAGTAAAGGCCCTGTCTCTGGTGACAGGCCCAAAAGCCCCAAGTTTACCTTGGAACCTCAAGAAGATCACCCAACTCATAGGTATTTAATAGCACATATCCATGGCTAGGCTTGGCTTTAAAAATAGCTCTTATCTGAGATTCCTTCTATGGAAAAAAGTTCCATCAAAGTCAATTTAAAAGCCCATGTAAAAAATAATTATTCTTGGCCAGGTGTGGTGGCTCAAGCCTGTAATCCTAGTACTTTGGGAGGCCGAGGCAGATGGGTCACCTGAGGTCAGGAGTTCAAGACCAGCCTGGCCAACATGATGAAACCCCATCACTACTAAAAATACAAAAAATTAGCCAAGTGTGGTGGCGGGTGTCTGTAATCCCAGCTACTCAGGAGGCTAAGGCAGAAGAATCACTTGAACTCAGGGGGTGGGGGTTGCAGTGAGCTGAGATCGTGCCATTGCACTCTAGCCTGGGCAACAAGAGCAAAACTCTGTCTCAAAAAAAAAAATTATTCTTGCTGCACTGTATACAAATAATTAGGCCAAGTATAATAAAGCAAATCAGTCCTACCATGATTTGTCTTTAAAATGGGAAACTGGAGAGAGAAAAATTATGTTTTGAAAACTATAGTATACCTGTTGTTAGATTCTAGTCTTGCCTAATGTTTCTCAATTTTTATTATTTTTCTACGATTTGGACTGAATTCTAATTTTTCTTGACTACAAGTTTTCAAAATAATGTTTTCAATTTTTTTACTCTTTTTTTGTTTGTTTTTCCTAACTTGGAGTCACTGAAAGCTGAGCTGTGCTTTCTTAAAGCCCTGAAAACTGAAGCCAGACAACTTAAACTTCAGAAGAAAATATCAGCAACCTATTTACATACCTAAACCACTTTCACACCTGCCTACTGATGTGTGAACTTCAGAGCAATGTGGCCTATATTGATTTTCCAGGATTGCTCTTTCGTTGGTTGTTGTTTTTCTTCCTTCCTCCCCATATTTTCTCCTTGTAAGACATGAGACTTAACAACTTTCTAAAACTGAACTTCCCTAATAACTTGGGATCTACCCGTCTAGGAATAAACCATCCTAGCCATGAGAGATCAGACAAAACCTGGGACCAGAGACTCAATTTCTTCTAAAATGCTTTCTCCAAAAGATTTTTAAAAAGAAAAGGGGGAAATGTGAAAGGAAAATATCTTGGGCCCCCAAAATCACTAGGTAAAGGGAAATGTCAAGGTAGGAACTGCTTAGGGCAAACCAGCCCCCCATTCTACACAAAATCACCCCTCTGCTCACAAATGCATATCTGATTGCCTTCTTTGAAGAGGCTAATCAGAAACTCAAAATAATGTAACCATTTGTCTCTTATCTACCTGTGACCTGGAAGCCCCCTTCCCACTTTGAGTCTTCTCACCTTTGCTTCCAGTTGTCTCACCTTTCCAAATGGAACCAATGTTTATCTTACATATGTTAATTGGTGTCTCATGTCTCCCTAAAATGTATAAAACCGAGCTGTGCTCTGACCACTTTGGGTACATGTTGTCAGGACCTCCTGAGGCTGTGTCATGGGCACATGTCCTCAACCTTGGCAGAATAAACTTTTAAATTAACTGAGACCTGTCTCGAATTTTCAGGGTTCACAACCTCATGCAGAAAGCACAGATTCTGATTCCAGCCAAAGGTCATCAGGCTGAGTGGGCTTCCAGGGGGTCACAGAGAACAGAATCCACCCCACCCAATCCACCCCACCCTACCCCTCCACCATCAGCCAACAAAGACAGGATCTCCACTGCCTCTGCTGTGAAGCCCTCCTGCCCACTCAGTGGCCAGGACATGCTTTCTTGAGTCTATCTAGGATCCTTTCAGCTGCAGTTTGGAGCTGTGCTCCTTCGCTGTTTGCCCTTTCTCTGCCCCAGCCCTCCAGACAGAATTTACCTAAGACCATCTAGCTCGGTCTCCAGCCGCCTTCGCTCAACCACCAGCCCCACGGTGTTGGCAAACCTCTGTGGTGAGTGGGGCACCCTGGCAGGCAGGAGGAATATCTGCAGTGGTAGAGATAAGGTGCACAGTGAGGCCACTATCCCTCACGGAGACCTTAGCGCCCCCAACATCCTGGGCATCCGCAGCTGACCCCTGGGCAGCAGAGTGGTACTGCTTGTCCACCCTAGGCCCTCTTCTCTGCCCAGCCTCTACACCGGGGAACCAGAGGGAATGTTGGACTGTGCTGAGGATGGAGTAGCCTGGAAGAGGGAGGATGGGGTGGCCTGGAAGAGGGAGGATGGGGAAGGGGCAGGTTGGCAGGTGGGGTGTGGGAGAGCAGGAAAAGGTAGGGAGGATAAGACCTCAGCCAGGGCCAGGATTCCAGCTGTGGCTGCCTTTCTCTTCCCCACCCTGCTGGGATCTGGCCTCACCTCTCCCTGCCGAATGACCACATCCCGGTGTTTGCCTTGCTCCAGGACTCGGAGAACCATGTCTCCCTCCAGCTGGTAAAATACCTGTGGGACAGGAGAGAGGCTTGGACCCTCCCCACTTTCTCTTCCAGGTCCTTGGCCACTGCCCAGGCCCTGAATTCTGACTGGGAAACCTGAGAACTTTCTGAAGGCCTCGGAGTTGATGGGCAGCTCTGTCACTTCTGTCCCGAGGCCCGTCTCACCGGTGCATACCATGGAGTGCTGGGGACACACGGGATCATGTCTTGGACATGCAAGTGATGATCAGAGTACCCAGGATGCAACGGTGGTTACCTGGCTGGCGGGCAGGAGCTGGATGAAATGCTCACTGGGGAAGTGAATGAGACAGCAGTCAGGTAGGGGACCCACCCATTTACTATGTGCCAGGGGCTGTGCCAGGCACTTTTCCACCAGAAACCTCACAGCAAAGCCTCCAAAGGTATCATTAACCCCATTCAGCAGAAAACAAAGAAAGAAAACCAAGGCTCAGAGGGTAAAGCAGCTGGCCTAAGGTCACATAGCTGGTTACTCTCCAGCCGGAGCCGCAGCTTGGACCCAAGGCTGTATGTGGCTCTGGAGCCTCTGGCCAGGGTGACGCCTTGGCAGCAGGTGGGGCTGTGGAGGTTGCTGGCAGCCTGGGATGAGTTAGGTGCTGTGGGGGATGGGAGTATGTGCCTCTTGTGCGCTCCCAGGCCGGGGGGGCGGGGGCTCCTACTGCATTTTTCTGATTTCATCCTAAGTCCCTAATTTACTGAGATCACCCCATGGAATTGGGAGGAAGAGGAGGAGGCAGACTGGTTTTCTCCCCACCCGTCACACATTGCCTAGTGTTAAAAGCCCCAGCCAAATAGCTGAAGGAATGTTATCAACAGCGTCTACTCAGAGAAACCAAGCTGACCTGGAGGGACCTAGAGAGATGTGGCTCTGCAGTCTGCCACTAGGCACAAATAGTCACCACCCTTCTGAAGGGCAACTTGGCCATGGGCGTGAAGTGCCTTGGCAGTTTACACCCCTGGAGGGACTGTGGGGTTTCTTGGGATGCAGGACCCTCAGTGCTAAAACTGAGAAAGTTCTGGGTGAATCCAGATAGCTGGTCACCGTACAATCTTGACCTCAGTAATTCCACCTCAGGAATGAGACCTCAGTTCATCAGAGACATACCTGCCTAGTGGTGTACATTCAAGGCTGTTTTTAATGCAGTGCATAGTTAAAAGCCCTCAGCTCTGCCAGGGTGCTGTGTGCCCTTGGTCAATTCAGTTAGCCTTTCTGTACCTTGGTTTCCTCATCTACAAAATGACAGTTATCTACTCAAAATGGAGATGTGAAGATGCCAGGGATGCTTTACACATATGTGCTCAGCACATAGTAAGTGCTCAATGAGCCTCTAGCTATTAGTATTGACGATGGTAAGAATGACAAAAGTAATGCTAATATAATTATGGGGAAATGTAAATATTTGATGGTAGATTCAAAATATGGAACATTATGCAGCCATTAAAAACTATGTTTTTGAATAGCTGTTAATAAAAAGGGAAAATGGAAAATGCTAAATTTATGTTAAAGATTCAAAACTATACCCAGCAGGGTTTTAGTTTGTAGCAATACACATATAACAGAGGCAGCCTGTTCACAGCGGCCCTCTGCGTGGTGGGGTTATGAATGAGGTAAGGATTTTTCTGTCTATATTTCTCATATTTTCTACGAGGAACAATATTTACTTTCCTTATTAAAAACAACCCATAGGCCGGATGTGGTGGCTTATGCCTGTAATCCCAGCACTTTGGGAGATGGGAGGATCACTTGAGGCCAGGAGTGGAGACCATTCTGGGCAACATGGTGAGACCCCATCTCTACAAAAACTAGAAAAAATTAGCTAAGTATGGTGATGTCTGCCTGTAGTCCCAGGGACTTGGGAGGCTGAGGCGGGAGGATTGCTTGAGCCCCCGAAGTCGCGGCTGCAGTGAGCTATGACTGCACCACTGTACTCCAGCCTGGGTGACAGAGTGAGACCCCATCTCTAAAAAACAAAAACAAACACGAACAAACAGAAATCCCATACACATTATTTCATACAAATAATAAGAAACCTACCAGGTTCTCTTCTAGGGAGCATTTCAGTATGCTCTCCTCCCTCACTCTCCAAGCTGGGAGGAAGCCTGTGTGAGAGAGAGAGTGTGTGTGTGTGTGTGTGTGTGTGTGTGTGTGTGTGTGTGTCTAGGGTCCTTTCACAGTGAGGGAGGGGAGGAGGGGCAAAGGAAAAGTTGGCAGGAAAAGTTGGGAGAGGGGAGTCTGGAGTGACCCTCTGGGCCAGACATAAACCCTTACAAGGCAGGCTACACGGTATTTTCTCTATTTTCTTGCTCTTATCCCCTGCTCAGAGGCCTTCCCTGTGATGAGGGGCAGGCCTGGCCTGGAGCAGAGGTACAGATCACTGAACAGCAGAAAATCCCGAACAGCTGTGGGCAATCCTAAAGGAATTATGCTCAGTTTGGAAGTAAATGATGTTTGGGGGCCTGGGGCAGGCTAGAAGATTAACTGTACTGGCTCAGGCAGCTAATGAATAGAATCTGGCTTTCTGACCTGGAAAGGCCTTTCAGGCAGGCCAGGCGGAAAGGGCGAGAGGTGTAGAGGAACCATGCATATCAAGCACCAACTCTGCACCAGGCTCTGTGCACACACTCTATGCACATTGAATTCTTCCACCAGACAGGGGCCGTTGTCCTCATATACTTATGGAAACAGGCTTGGAGAGGTGATGTGATGTGCCCTGATCCAAGATCCCGGGGTTAGTAAGCGGCAGAGAATTCCTCCAATGCAAGTTCATCTGCCTCTGGCCCCCCTGCACCTGCACGCTCCAAGAAAGGAGTGAGGTAGGTGGAGTATAGGTGGTAGGTGGCGCTGGGGACTGGGGAGCTGGGTCAGGGAGCTGGAGGTACCCTGACCGCTATTGCAGAGGCAGAGCTCGGCGAGGAGGAAAATGGGGTTTGGTAAGAGGTGTGATTTGAACCCAGGTCTGAGCGACTCCCCTTTCTCACTATTAAGGAGGAGCCCGGACCCTGAGTTACACTGCTTCCATAGCACAGCCTGGAGTTTTCCCAGGCTCTAGCTGGGTGAGGATAAGCAGGGACAGAGAGGAGGCTGACCCTTAGCCCTGAGGCTGCGCAAGTGCTGCACCACCCTGCCACCAAAACCTCAGCAGGGTGGGACCAAGCCCTGTCACAAGCCCACCTCCAGCCAGATTCCTCCCAGACACCTGGGTGTCCCTTCAGAGTGAGGACACCTGTGCTGGCCAGCCCTCCTCATCGCTCAGCTGCCATCTGAGTCAGGGAATGGGCTGCTGGCCAGGCCCCTCAGGGGACACCCAGCCACCTGAGCTTGGAGAAACCATGGGATGGGCATGGGGCAGAGGCAGCAGGGGGCGAGAAGGGAAGCAAAGACAGAGGGAGACAGGAGAGGTGGGTGCTGTGAACAGGGCTGACAGAGAAGGCCGAAGTCTCTGGAAGACTCCGCAGTCAGCTCTGCCTCCCATACCATAGCCACGCCAGGTCTACCCACCTCCTCAGTATAGTTTTAGATTTTCCTATTGACTTTTTCCACCAAGGAAACAGTCTCCAGTCAGGTGTGTTTGTGAGAAGGGGGTGGCCAGGAGAGGTGCAGGGCCCCTGGAGCGTGAGAGGTGAGGGGTTGGCTGGTTCTGCTGGCCCGGGGCCCATCGTTCCTCCGCACAGCCTTGCGTGTCCCAGTGCACACATGAGGTGCTCAACAAATATTTGTTGAACAAGTGATTCTCCCATGCTCACTACAGTCCCTGCCTGTGGCCTGGATGCCCTCAGTGGGGACAGAGGCTGTTGATCAAGCTGGACTCTGGATCTTGAACCCCCAGAATCAGGCTCCCTGAGAGGACGGGGAGCCCTCTACTGATCCTTTCCCACCAGAGGAGATTCTGCGTCTCTTCTGAAGGGGACACACTTTTCTCTTTAAATTTTGCTTTTGTTTATTTATTTTGGGGTAGGTAGTAGAGAAGCACAGTCCAAACTTCAAGGTGCAAAAGGTGATTCAAGGCAAATTCCCCCTCCCACCTGCCCCAGCCACAAGCCACGAATGGGTTTTGCAGCCTCTAGTTAAGGGAGGGCCACCCAGCCCCAACTCCTCCTTCAGCTCCAGACACACCCTACCATGCCTACCCCTTAGCCACTAGCTCCTCCTCCCTCAGCCCCTCCCGCTCCCTCCGCCACCCACTCAGCCCAGGCCTCACTCACGCTATTTTTGCACTTTGCCCCTGTCTGCAGGGGAGGATCTTATTTTGGAGACCAATTGAATCTGTCAAGTTTGTGGGGAGGGGACCAGGACATCCCCCCGAACATGGCCAGCCCCTATATCCAAGGGGAGGATGCCCCACAGCTAAAGCCTCTGTCACCCGCAGGGTGTGGGCTGTTTCCCGGGGCTCCCCCAGCAAAGGTGCTGGCTGTGGAGGTGTCACTGCCTGCCCACCAGCTTGGAGGGAGCAGTCATGCCCTATGATTTCAGCTGTGCCCCCTCCACTCATCAGCCACATGTCCACCCCTCTCCACTTACAGCCACATGTCCAGCCCTCTCCACTTATCAGCCACATGTCCACCCCTCTCCAGTCCATCATCTCTGGGCCTCGAGTGGGAAGCGCCCCCTCCCCCCAGGGCCAGGCTCCTTGCCCACAGGCCTAGATCCAGGGAGACCAGTCAAACCTACCTCTTCACCCTCTTCGATGTGATAGTCCTTCCTGGTATTGGGGCCTCCAACGAACATGACTTTGAGCTGCTCCTGGTGCCTGCAATGCGCGCAAAGTAGGGGAGATGTTCTAAACCATCTCCTACGAGTGAAGAGAGCAGGGGTCCTTTGGGGGCCAGGAGGGAGCTTGAGGGCCCCTGGGAGAAGAAGCAGGACTGTTTTGGCCTCACTGTCCCTGTCCCCCAACTCTCATCCCCAGTTCATGCCTGCGTGCATCTAAGCGTCTATGTGTCTGGGATGGTGTCTGTGTGACTGTCCCTGTTTGTGTGTCCCCCCACATCCTCTGACCCAACAAGGGGAATGACATGGTGGTGAATCTATGGCTTTATCAACCAGGATCCTGGGCTGTGATCAAGATCTCAAATTACAGGAGAGTAGCAAATTGGAGGCCCCTTCCCAGGATGAGGCAGTGTAGGGGCAAAACGACCTTGACCTGCCGCTCACCCGTGCTGTCTGACTATGGGATCCTGCACTCTGCCCTGGCTGGAGGCATGGCTTCGTGGGTGCAGGAGACTATAACATCTAGCAGGGGCCTCAGGCAGTGTCAAGTCAGTGTGGCATGTGTTTACAAGTACAGGCCCTGGGGCATGTTACTAACCTTACCTGTAAAATAGAGGAACAGTTCTTACCTCACAGAGTTTAAACAGAATACCTGAATTAATATTTGGAAGCTCTCAGAATGATGCTTAGCATGCAGTGAGCACTATTTAAGTATTTGATAAAATAAAGAAACCCGGCCGGGCATGGTGGCTCATGCCTGTAATCCCAGCACTTTGAGAGGCAGAGGTGGGTGGATTGCTTGAGGCCACTAGCCTGGCCAACACGGTGAAACCCCATCTCTACTACAAATACAAAAATTAGCCAGGGCTGGCGGTGGGCACCTATAATCGCAGCGACCTGGGAGGCTGAGGCACGAGAATCGCTTGAACCTGAGAGGTGGAGGTTGCAGTGAGCTGAGATCGCGCTACTGCACTCCAGCCTGGGTAACAGACGGAGACTCTGTCTTAAATAAATAAATAAATAAATAAATAAATAAATAAATAAACTCAATACAGCCCTCTCATTTTACAGCCAATTTAGCCCGCCAAGAGAGGGTCACATAGCCAGGGAATGACCGAACCTGAGCCAGGTCCCAGGCTCCTTGACTCCCACGCGGGCACTGGGTCTGTGGGGCATCTAGTCAGCTGTTTGGAACAAAAGGGTGCCCAAACTCCTCAGTCTTTCTGCTGTTGATGTGGTGTTACCTTTTTATGGGAAAAATACCTCAGCACCTCCTGAGAACAGCCCGCCCCACCTGCACAGCAGGGTCCCCTTTCAGGGTGCAGACGCTGGGGTGAATCAGCAGCAGAATGTGTCTGGGTGCGGCTTCAGGGTCTTCTCAGGTGGCCCTGCCACAGAGGGCAGGGGTGAGGGCTTTCCTCTGGAAGGGGAAGTGCTGGGTCTGGGACCATTTGTACACACAGGGCGCAGCATTCTAGAGGCTGCCTGCATGGATAATGGTGTGGATGGCAGGGGAGGGGCTATGGGGGAGGTCTGAGCCCCCAAACTAGACTGGCAGGTCCTTTCTGAGTGTCCTCTCCTGTGGGCTGCTTTCCAGCCCAGCTGGGAGGCATGGAGACAAGACGGAAGAGCCAGTGTCTTTCCTTTTCCTTCCCTTTTGGGAGGCTGGGCCCAATAAGCCAGAAACACACGTGTCGACCTGATGTTTGAAAAGGTGGATGAGGCGCAGGGCAGGAGGAGGCTGTCATGAACAGTCCATGCTTAAAAACTTAAAGCTGCACAGAGCTTCAAGGAAGGGAGAGAAGCTACAAGGAACTTGACTGGGGAAGGGTATGCATGGGAGAGCTGGGTGCAGAGGCTCTGAGACTAGAAGCACTGGCGGTGACCTTGGGAAACGATGTTGAGAAGGCTGGACCAGGAGGGTGGACCAGCCGTGGAGTCTGATCTTGGTCTAAGGAGTGCCGGGGAACCTGGAAAGTTGTTTTTTAAAATCAACTTCACTGAGGTGTAATTTAGATATACACAGACAATTCTTAAACAACTCCACTCAAGAACTCTTTCAACCCATCAGTCAGGATGCACAAACCAGACCTGCCCCTCCTCTGCCCAGAACCCTCAAGCAGCTTCTCACCTTGCTTAGGGGTATTATGGGCTGAATAGCAACCCCCCCTGTCAAATTTATATGTTGAAGTCCTAACACCCAGTACTGCAGAATGTGACCTTATTTGGAAATAGGATCCTTGAGATGTAGTTAGGTTAGGATGAGGTCATCCTGGAGTAGGGTGAGCCCCTGATGCAATATGTCTGGTGTTCTTTTAAAAGACGGAAATTTGGACACAGACACACACACGAGGAGATCGCCTTGTGAAGACGAAGGTGGAGGTGGGTGTGGTGCAGCAGAAGCAAGAATACCAATGATGCCATCAAACCACCGAATGCTAGCGAGAGGCCTGGGCAGATGGACGCGAGACCTCAGGGAGCGATGGGAGGACGGAGAGGGAGCGACCACAGACGGGGATGAAGTGGTGGAAGGAGGCAAAGACAATGCTACATCTTTGATTGGGGTGGGCAACAACAGTGGCCAAAGAGATCTTTGGGGAGCTATTGACTGTTAGCCATGTGGTATTCCATGGTAACCAAGAGTGAGCGTGGACTCTGGAGTCGAACTGCTCCATGGGTTGTCTGGAGCCTATCCCACAGGCGCTCTGTGACACTAGAAAAGTTACTTATGAAAATCCCCCCCCATGGCGCTACTGTGAGAATGAGATGAGATGACGTAAAAACACTCGGCATAGTCCTGGGCCTGCTGTTTGGTTTGAGGTGCCACCCTACTGACCATGTCCTGTGGACACAGCAAAAATGAGGAATGTGAACCTTGATCTAGCCGGCATGTGAGGCCCTGCCATGGAACTGGGGGGGTGAGGGAGGTGACCGTGCCACAGGGGAGGGCCTGAGAGGTCTGCCTGAAAAAGATGGCAGCTGGACGGCCAACCCTGTTGGGTGCTGCAGGCAGAGGCTACTGGCAGAGGTAGCCTAGGGAGGGTCTGCTGTGGTGTGTATGTGTGTGTGTGTGTATGTGTGTGTGTGTGTGTATTCGTGCACACCTGCAAAGAGGGGCTCTGGAAAGAGCAAGAAATCAAGATCTTCCCAAAGGAGCGGATTCTCTGCCTTCCCCTTTGCCTGTGGCTTCTGGCACAGGGTTGGGGTGTATGATTTGGCTGCCCCCAGGCCTACATTCTAGTGCAATTCTGGGGCCTTGAAAACCACCCTCCCCACACTTTTGAGTTTTCCCAAAATGCACAGTGTTACTTGGGTTGGAGTATTGTTTCTCAGCCCCGGAAGGAGGGGTGCACCTTGTCATCTCATCTCCCACAGCCTCAGACCCAGCTCAGCCTTCTTCAGAAGTCAAGACCACAGTCACCAGAAAGAGGAACAGACTGATGTGGTGGAACCGGAACAGCCTGTCTCCATCTTCCCCCAAGAACCAAGAGATTGAAGCCGCCCTTCTGCAGGCTTTTGGGTCCAGGAACTCGGAGCTGCAAGGTGAGGGCGCAGATGGAGGAGGGGGAGGAAGCAAGGGCAGGGGGAGGCCATGGGGGTGCCGGACTCACATGAGCTTGTTGCAGACGGGGGGCTGGAAGGAGCCCCGGTTCTCCTCCACCCAGGCCCTCACTCCCACGCGGCGCTCCATGACTGTCCCGGGCGCCTCCTCGCAGCGCTGTCCTCCCGCCGTCGGAGGCCCCTGGCTCCGCCCAGTCGCCTTTTTAACCAGAATCCCAAGCTCACCAGGCGGAGCAAACCCCCGCGACCCCGCGGTGGGAGCTTGGGGCCGGCAGACTTTGGCCCCTGGTGGACTTTGGTGTGAGCCCCCCGCCCTCCGCGCCACCCCAGACCCTGGTGAGAGCGGCGGCCGCAGCGCTGGGGGAACGGCGGCCCGTGCCCCCTGCTTCTCCGCGGGGCAGGGGCTCGGTCCTCGCCACCGTCCTGGGGGCGCCCCACACACTTGCGCCTGCGGTGGGGCCTGCTCCCGGCGGAGGACACAGAATCCAGACCCTTCCTGGGCGCTTGTCCCCAGACGTTCCTTCCCTCTACGCCCCGGGGGGAACCCCAGGGAAGGTCCCCAGAAATACTACAGTGGGGAGATCGCGGGTTGGAAGTCCCAGCGCCTGAGAACACGGTGCTGGCTCTGGGCTCAAGATTTGGCTTTCCCATCTGGAAAAGGGGAATGACTGCCCGGCCACTCAGGGCTGCCGCGCGCACCCAGCGGGAAGCCGCACGGTGGTCCCCGCAGGCCCCGATTCAGGGTGAGCCCCAGACCCGCTGCGTGGGGCCGGCAGACTCCGCCGCGGGCTCGGCGAGGGGAGCGGTGCAGGCGCCGAGCTGCGGAGTCCGGGCTCAGGGCAGGACGGCGACCCCTCCCCACCCGAGGCCCAGCAGAGCGTCTGCTGTCCTTCGTTCAGTGTCGCAGTGGACCCCGAGCCCCGTGCTGAATTCCTTAGGTGTCTTAGGAACATACTCAGCTCGCACGCAGCTATGGGAGGAATTTGGCAGATGTGGACACTGGCCTTAGTGTCCTAGCCCTCGGGAATCTGGAGGTGTTAATGATGTCCCTGTATGAGAGACTCTAACAGTTATCCTGGGTGTGAGGGGCTAGGGCGCTGGGCGTGGACGTGCAGGTGTGAGGAAAGAGAAACCTGCGCAGGTGTGGAGGAGGGAGAAGCCTGCCTTTCTGCATGACTCAGAATTCTTAGGAAGATTGGAGGAAGTAGAGTGGGAGCCGGGAGGTAGGGGAGGAGGAAAAGGGCTCAGGCCCCTGACACCAGAATCCAGACTATAGAGTTTAAGAAACGAAACGCCTCCAAATCCTGCCCTCACAGCCCGCCTGGCGTGGGCTGGCTTTCTCAGCATCCCAGACATAAAGACTCCTCTGGTGCAACTCAAAATCAAAACTCAGACAGATAGGAAGCCGAATTTCCCCCTGAGACCTTCCCATTTCCTCTGTGCCGCTCTTTTTTTGTTTTTTCTTTCATTTCTTTCTCTCTTTTTTTAAAGTTATTTATCTAGCACAGTTTTAGCTGAGCACTTCCTTCTAGAATATCGTTTTGCACCCAAATAACTCACACCACCTTCTTTATTTTTCTCACCTATAAGTAATCAGAGGAGATGTAAACAATGACACATGAAGCACTGAGGATCTGAGATGTGTTAAGTTTGCTTTGAGTGTTAGTTAAATGGAGGGATGGGTGAGTGGGTGGATGAAGGCATCAACGAATTCACACAAAAAGGAGAAAAACTGATTTCAGCCCAACAGCTGTTCTGTTACCATAGTGCAAAGGAAAGAATGATAGGTACTCTGTATTTTAACTGATGTGATCAAATAATGTGAATAATTAATGCCACAAGTAGAATTTTGGGAGTCTGAAATATCCCGAGTAACCCTCTACACAAGCTAAATGACTGCTATGTTATCACTATCAAATATGCCCTCTGATTTGTGCTGTGTAGCGCAAATACCATGGCCGGTCTACTGAATTGGCAGGCCTCCTGGCTCAGGAACCATTGGACTCCAATGCTCAGAAAACGGACAGTTGCCATGTTGTGAGTATTCTGGCATTGTTGAGTTGGAACCATCTGGAATCCTTCTGAATACTGACTGTTGGACCCCTTGTAGTTTCTGGAATTTACCTGCCTCTAGGATCCACCTCTCTCCTCTGCACACAGAAGCTCATCTGCACTAAAGGATCAGAAGCAAATAGAATCTACCCTGGGATCCAAGCTCAAAGGATCTGGCCTGCTTGCTGGTGTCTTGCCCTGGCCTCCCCTGGGTGGTGTTTGCCTGCCCAGGTCACTGAGACCAGCAGATCCTTCCAGGCTTTGCTGAACCTGGCTGGTAATAACGACCTGACCCTTCAATTCTTCCATACACTGAACTAGTTGCTCCAGTGAATCCCTTTCCTGGCCCACCTTATTTTGTTT